GGCTGCTACAATCAACGACAAGTTTAATAACTCGTCTGTATTGGTCCTGCCGGCCTGCCTCTGCTCAGACGTGTAGCACGTGTCGAGAGCGTGGCACAATTCTCTCATCCTCGCTGCGGCTGGGTGTGACTGGAACTTGTCCTGTATACTCTCTGGAAGAGTATACGGGAGCGGAGACTGTGAGCGGGGAATTCTCTCTGTACTGTACCCCGGCTCAGCCCATCTGAACGCTGACGGCGGGTTCTTCTCTGGCTCTGTGGCCTCTCTGGGCTGACCGACGGCCAGCTCGGGTTGCGCGGTTGAACGCTGCGCGTGAAACTGTGAATCTGAGCGCGCTGTTGCGTATGAGCTGCGGGAGGGAGAATCTGTCTGTCTGACAAGGTGTGGTAGAGGTGAAGGATCTACTGTGGAGAAAGGGATTTTATGTGTTGTCATGTATTCGGCTAATGTTTTCACGAAGTGGCCTTTCTTCTTAGACTGGGCAATGTTTTGGTCAAGACGCTTGCTGACTGCGAGCAGTTGAGCTTTCGTTAGATAGCTCAGCTGGTCTGTCAAAGATTCTGGCTCGGATGCCATGGATCTACTGGAGCGATTCTTTTAATGTTTGGGAAAGGAATCTACATTTCTCTCTTCCTTATGTTGGTAATGTGGGAAAAGGAACATTTAGGTGGCGCCAGGCTAATGTAAGCTGCTCATTCTCTAACATATACAGTACTTATACTGTGATACGCACAAAACAAGATTGGGTGTGCCACGTGAGAAAGTATGTAATTTACAAAAGAAATGATATTTATCCTGAAAACTTATGTAATGTGTGTATAATTTTAATATCAGTAATGTGAGAAAGTTAAAACAACAATTGAGTTAGCGACTGCAAAACGACAAGATCGTCGGCTTCGATAACTTTAGCCGGCTTAGGTGGAAATATAAGTAATCAAATCCGACAAAATTGAAATTATGTTTTCACCAACTGCAACATGGTAGTAACTTACCCATTGATAATCGCGGTATGCGGTAATCTTTAAGGAAATCCGGTATTTCCGGTCCCTTATGAATGGCAAGGAAGACTTTCTGGTGGTGGGTGGAAGCGCGCGATGTGCAGGTGAGGCGCTTGACTTCCTTGGAAAGCCGTCTAGGTAATGTGGGGCGTAAGATTTTGGCAAGAGAGTCGGCGCCGGATAGAATTAAACTGGTCCGAAGTCCAGGAGCGCCATGCAACAGCAGCCGGTTAAACTGCTGTTCTAGTGGGATGGTTAATCCACCGTACCACGATGTAGCGGCTGTTAAGGCTAACTGACAATCAAAAGGCTGGCACGGTCAGCAGCGATGCTGACCGGAAGCAAGGCGGCAATTACACAACTACTGTGTGGGAGATGAGACGATTCATCTCGAAGTGTTTACAAAAAACAACGCAAGACATGGCAGTCACGGCAAGATTCTTATTAGCAAGTACACAGGGCAAGAAGGCAAAAAGCAAGGTTAGCTAGCTGGCAAGAAGCAAATCCAAGAATGATTCCAGTGCGCCAAAGTAAAAGTTAAGAGCATCGAGATTGTAGCGGTAAAGCGGTAAGACAATGAGATGCTGATTCACATGATCTTAATGAGGAAGACAAGCAATGAATGAACCAATAACTGATGTAGAAAAGCAATAAACAATCCCAACTGGCGGTACTAAGATTTTCTATCGTTACAGTATTATAAGTAGAAGTGACCAATGAGCGAGCGGAGTACTTGCACGAATTATACTAGAAGTACGTAGGTTTATGGTAGTACTTACACAAACACATTAGCAGCTACAGATACGTGGTATGTTGGCCCAGCCCAGGTTTATCGTAGTTTTTTTCTCGATAGGAACAGTCGATAGATTCAATAGAGATCGACAGTAGCAGCATGAAATATTACAAACCATTTTATTTACAAACCGTAGTGAGCGAACGACACTGTGTTGCGATCGGGTCAGATCGGCGTTTATACAGATATTCTAGTTATGCCATTTGCATCAATCGACAACTGCAACAGACCGGGTGTCATTATTAGGCAGCAAATCTTGGCTGCTAGTTAAGAATGCGCCCATCAATTTGTCAAATGGGTCTCATTCCAAGATGAAGTCATATTTGATTCCTCTTGACGGCAATACCTTTCTCTAAGAATTTCGAACCCGAAACGGTCAAGTAATGGATACTCATGTTGTAGTTAAGCCTTCCTAAGCAATGAGAGGCAAAGATAGCTAGATCATGGCCACACCCACCTCTAGAGGGTCACTGTAGGACCCATAACACACGCTGTATCAAACTTCGAAACAGCAGGTCATTTAATCGTAGAGCACAATCAACACACAAGAATGAATTTGACACTAAGACTTCATACAAGCAGCAGCATACAACTGAATGTCGACGCATGAATGACCTAGTCAAATATTTAACACTCGAATTTAGAATATCAAGTACCGCTAGCTAACATCAAATTATCAGAAGCGCGTTTGCGCCGCAAGCAGGTTATCCTCTTAAACTAAATATCCATATCAACGGATCAAGCAGCATCTGTAAGGAATAGAAGACAGATACAATACTGAAAACAACTGGCGAATGCCAGACGTTAAAGATGATGGCAGAAAAGAAATATATGTCAGTCGGCATCCAGCAAACCAAAGCACTGATGGAGGTAAGGGTCAGAACAATAAATGGTTTGGCAATTTTCCGCCGGCCGGTGCTGGTTTCCTGGTTTACTGTTGTCGACAGGTGTTTCGATAACAATGATGGCTTGGCTTCCACGGTACTGTAGTCACCAGTGTTTACGTTTGCAATGCCGGTACGCCGATGAGACCGTTTCTTTTGCATTCGCTTCAGAATGATGAAAACATAGACAAAGATGATAAAAAGCAAGGGTAATATGCGACAGATCAACATCTCCGCTTGATTCCATCCTGGTAAAGTCAGCAGGAGACATCCGCGTGGTTTACCAGCTGATAATGATCGTGCCATTTCGGTAATCAGTGGTGGTATTTCTATGATGTGGACATAAAATATCATTACTAGATAAATTAGAACGGTCATGTGTTTGTTATGCCGGTTCCGAAAGGAGACAGGACGGATCATAGCCCATAAACGACTGCTGGAAATCAGCACATGTGACATCACTTGAACTACGCTGATGACCTTCTGGGCATAAGAACGCAAAATGCATAGTGAACTGCTCCAATCCCGACTCCCGTATACTTGATGGATGGTGCTAAATGGCCGTTCCACCATCAAGTAAACGAGATTCACCACGAATAACGCTAAAAGGTAAACCGTAAAAGAAGTAATGCGCGATGGAAAAACGCAATGATATCCCAAAGCACCCGCATTTAGGCCGACGGAAACGGAACTTATTACAATGTCGACGATGCTTGAAATCGTCCAATGGTCTAGCATATGTGTACCGTTAAAATTTACGACAGTTAGCATTTCTCGGAACGAAGAATTTAGTTGCGTCATTTTGTCAATATGATTTGTTGTGTTTACCCTTCGTAATCAATGATCTCGCTCAGGCAGAAGTCTCGTCATTTATATACGTAATATTAGGAATTATTTGAAAACAGCTTAAAGCAAAGGTCGTTTATTACCGACGAGCATATCGCGAAGCGTTCTCGGTGTATAATACTGAATACTGTAGCTATCAGTTTTCCTACGCCTACTTTGACTCTCAGAGAAATTAATGTCTACTAGTATCGGAACGCGGGAAAGGTCTTTGACAAAACATCTTTGGAAGTGATTTTTCCGTGATCCGCCAGGTCAAATTCAACAAACGCTCATTTTACCACGCGTGCTCGTGGTGTTAGTTGATCCCCAGTCCCCCCAGTACCGTTCTGTTTTGCTTGCTTCGCGTAATCGCGTATTAGAAAATTGCAATTGTGGTCGAAATATGACCAGTAACTTTACGTTTCCTCTTGCTGCTTTCTGTTTTGACGGTCGTCTCCAATTCTTTTTTAACTATAGAGGCGCAGTGTAAATTTGATGAGTGGCCTTTCAATTTCATTTCGTAAGTCTGTGTAACATTGTTTACGTGGCGAAATTTTGCTTTTGCTGTTACAAAATAATTGAATGACGCCCTTATAAGCGAATTCGAAACATCACGCTTGTATTGGATCCGCAACGGTCTCTTAATCATGCAACGAACAAAATGTGGGATACATTCGCTGTTTATTTGGTTATTAAATCTTGATGTCTTATGAATGTACACTTGTACAGTAAGTAGTAGGCATATGTATTGTACATTGTATACACAGCAATCTCTGTTTCATTTGAATTTCAGCTTTTTGAAGCCGAACAGCAGCGTGGAAATAAAAGAAATCACACGCACTTAGACATGACCTATCCGAATCAGTGTTATTATCCCGGTAGAGATTCTGCCAAGTCATTAAATCTTTTGTTACAAAAGGCAGCAACTGTGAATTACTCGCTCAAATGCATAATAATCAGCTATCAAATTCAGAAATTAGACAGAGGCGTGTGCTTTATTGTCAATTTTATGCAGCGAAATGTCGAAAATCCTAATTATATTTCTTGATCTGCTTAAGAAAGTGGAGATATTAAAGCCGTTGTACCCTTGACGCTTTTCTGTTGCCTAACATCTCAACTTTTCTGCTTTGGTTTTCGAAACAATGGGCGTGTGGGGTAAAGAATCGAAATGTAAGATGTCTACACTCGGTAAGATGGTTTTTGAGAGGACACAGGAAAACGGTCCACTCAGTTTCTGAAGCAGAGAATCAGTGTTGCTTTAATGCGAGGTAACGCTGCGTGTGTTCAGGAAACGTTTTGTACTGGCAAGAGACTGGATGAAGTGTACTATGTGTTGAATTAATGATGATTACTGCGTGATTTTGAGTTTAACCACTGTCAATGTGAATAACCTAATGATGCTTCTTTGCACTGCTTCATCCCAATAACAGTTGTAATCCCAATAAACCAACTTATTCAACTACAGGGAAATGTTACGTTATAGTTATTATGTACGGTCATTTAGGACTTAGTTTTACGCAGACTAACAAGCCACACCAACGGATCGAAAATCATTTGCACGGAGAACAACGTCCCCGTTACGATAAACACCGTCTGCGACATGCGTGCGTTAAATTTCATCGCCAGAAAGTATACATCCACTGGTATCCAACAAATCAGAACACTGATACAGGTCAGCGTAAGAATCATGAACGGCCGGACGGTCCTTACCGGGAGATTATTCTTGACGTTATGGGGCTGCTTGTCGCGACTCCGGTTTTGCTTGCGACAACTGGCCATGCGGATACGGCAAACATTTTGCGCTGATGGCAAAGCTTTAGCATCGGTATTCTTGCGCGGTTTGTCGCGTTTCTCTCCTGGCTGTAGCTTCTTTTTCTTCTGCCAGCGTTTGATAATTAGGAAGATGTACGCGACAATGATGAAGAGTAACGGGAGAAACCGGTTGAGAAAAGTTTCGATCTGTGTCCACAAAATGAACGTCCCTGTAATTTCTGGGCATCCTTTGCTTTTATCCCAGTTGTAGTAGCGCAGTCTGTCCAAAAGAAAAGGCGGAAGATCCAGGATGTTGGCGTACGCGACCACACCCAAACAGATCAGTGTGGCCATCGTTTTGGTATGGTGCTCCCTGTATGAAACCGGATATACAACAGCCCACAATCGGTTGACCGAGATCAACACGTGCGTCATCACGGGGATAATGCTGATGACCTTTTCAAAGTACAGAAACAGCATGCACTCCGCCCGTCCGAATGGCCACATGCCGCGCAAGTCGTTAACGATGCCCAGTGTTCGCACCACGCTGAGATGTACCACGTTGGATGCAAATATAGCGAGGAGATAGATTGTGAATGGTGTGATATGCGATGGAAACACCGCGTGAAATATCAGTACTGCCATGTTTAGTGTGAAGGAGATTACCGATACGCTGGTTTTGATTCCTGTTAAAATTGTCCATCCTGAAGCTGCACCCGTTATGTTATACAGATTCGTAAGGTTCCACGTTGCATTGTGAAGGAAATGGCTAAGGTTCCAAGAACCGAACGTATTGAAGGTTTGTGGCTGAATCATTGCTGTATAGCCGAAGAAACCAAAAATCATCATTGAAAAAATAACTAGCCAAACTCGCTGTTTAAAATGGTTCGGTGTTGTTTTCTTTCTGGTGATTAGGTCACAGTATTTAAATGTCAGATGCGGCAAAATTTTCCAAGAAGCAAGTCAACCAAAAATAAATTTTCCGGTTGGCTTAGAAAATGTTCGCATTCCGGTTTCCTGTTTATCGAATAACTGTGAATGTCAGCAGCAATATTTCTTTAACTGGAGATCGTCCGTTTCATTGATCTGTTTTTGGAGCAAAAACTTCCTGTTCCACTAAGTTTGTGTAAAAACGGAAACAGAATCTCGGGGTCAAGATTTTCTAGCGTGTTGAACTCAAGGAACAGAACTACAGACGTAATCGTAATTACGTAGCTCACGTGATCTTAATACTTTCTAATGGGTAACATTTAACAAGCGTAAAGCACCTCCTTAGGGATTCCGTAGACTTCTGCCTGTGGCGCTATATATGCTCGCAATACGTTAATTTGTCGTTATCTAACCATAAACCATCAGGTAAGCGAAGCGAACTGAAACACCTGTAATTAGCGCTCCTAGTTCTTTTGTGAGTATTTTAGCTTACAAATTAGTTAATTGAATTCTACTTGTAAATCATGCAGTCAAAGCATTTGTTTGCGCAGGAGTAAGATTAGACATTTTTGCGAGAATCACATGAGCTATACCTCAAAGATGACCCTTTTTATGATCATCTTCGCCTTGTTTTAAAACGTCTGCTATATTTTTGTACTGGATACTGAAAAATCAAACAAAGAAGCAACATTCTCCCTTCAAGTTTCCCTTCTTTGAAAATCAACAGTACGTAAACTACTAACCAGGGCACGGCCAGAGGCTCCCCCTCAGAAAAATTCCATCTTTTAACAAAAGACAGAGTAGGTACTGGGAATACTTAAAAAAGCATTTTCATAGGCAATGGTCCAGTGGGCGGGGCCAAAAACAAATTTAGTCATACTTATAACACACATCGTATGCTTGTCAATTTAATGCACAAATTCCCATAATCCTGGTCATACTGGTGAAAGTTTATGTTACGAGCCTGCGGCTAATGTGTTAATTGTTATAAATGCAGACTTGCCCCTTGACTAACTTTCAGTTTTCAGCAACTCGTTTCACAATATAAAATTTTCTGATAATTTCGCTGTATTCGATTTAATTGGATTGCCTTTACTTATTTCTGTATTTCTTTTGTGTGCTGTACCACACAGGCACTGCTGGTTTATCCGAGCTCAATAAATACAAAGATTTCCTAAAAATTTTACGTTGTCAAGCTAGTTATTTAAATAAAATTTAGTGAAGGGTCAAAATAGGAGCTTTTACTAGTATTGAAACGTACACTGGCCTCTTACTACACTGGCCTTTTAACGCTATATTCTAAAGCCTAAGGTTTGTATTAAAATTCGAATTTTATTTATTGACTTATTGCGCATTTTAAGTTTTTCCCATATGTCAATCACCGAGACACTGATAGCACAATGTTCAGCAGTCTTACTGTACATGTTGCAAGCAGACTCGTAGCCTATTACCGTTCACGGTGTTTATCCCCAGTATCAGATCTGTTTTACCAAACAACATATTTTCGGTTAGGATTCATTTTAGAATTCTTTGGACAATTGAAGGCTTGTGCGAATTCGGGCATGTTGGAGACAACCCCGTTTACTCTGAATTTCTTAGGCGAATGCACTTCCGTTAGGAGCTCGGAGCGAGCTACCTCTGGTCGGCCTTTGTAGCACCAAATCTGCATTAATTTAAAAAACATTAAACGACCCGTTTCAATGGCGGAAAGAAGAAAGTGCAGTTACATTAGCTGATGAGATAAAAAAAAGTTGTTCTGGTGTAAACTTCTCTAATCCAGGCAGCACCGGCTCGGGTTGGCCTATTCTTTCCCGATACCTTTTATAACCCTAGAATAAAACTTTCCAATTTATCACCTCAGAAACACACACATACTGTGCAACTCGCGTTTCGTACTTTATACGCCGCTCTCAATCCACCATTATCCGCTACGTTTTCTCCTGATGTCAGTTTGCCGTTAATTTTGCCATACGGTGTAATGTACGCATTGTACTGGTTAATAATACCATCGACGCGCTTTTGATACGTATCGTAAGTTTCGTTCGTCCACCAGGATTTACGAAATCCTTGATCGTCGTACAGGGAGCCTGGAAAGGTTATACACTGTGAAAAGACAAAGATCATTAAACAAAGGTCAGTTTTCGGGTACCCATATCATCGAAACCATGGGTTGTTTCATGACCAATAACAAATCCGATACCGCCGTAATTCAGATATTGTGGACTGCCGGCGTTGAAAAAGGGAAGCTGTAATATGCCAACAGGGATACCTAGTATCAAAACAACCTCTTACACATGGTTGATATTTTCTGGTTGTTCGATCTTACGCATCAAGTTGGCGATGGGATTGTAGGATGCATCCACTACCGTTATATCCCCTGTGTTGACCACAGGATCGCCGCGAATGTTGGGATCCCCTAACCGTTTCAGATCTCCGGTAAATGTGTAATTCATCAGCTGGTTGACGCTTTCGACAAACGTTGCACCGAGAGAAATCTGAAAATACTTAACATACAGTATGTACTTTTAACTGCAGTCGCAACATGCAAGGTTTTTTGGCATCTTTCGGACTTTAACATTTGTATACTGTACATACATCTTCGTACTCATCATTCACAGCGGAAATATTGCTGACAAAAATGTCTGGATAAGCAACCATATCAATAATCGTTGACAGTTTTTGATCGGCGCGCTCGCGTGTAGCCTGGTCCATCCAGTCGGCTTGGTTCAAGAGTTCAAGAAAACCTTGCCTGATATCGTCAATCATCATCGTAGCCTGTTAACATAATATACGTGCATTCGGTTTGTTAGTATGTACAGAGAATATTGTTCCAGCTCAAGTACCTTTTCTTTGAGATCTGGAGGAACCACATCCCGAACATACACTGCGCCCAGTGCCAACGGCATAAACCCCGTGATAATTTGTAGACATCGTTCTCCAACCGATGCCATGTATATTTCCGCCGTGCCGGTCACTTTTTGTGAATACTCAGCATCTGCACGGCGATAATCGTACGATAAATACGCCGCGTATCCTTTAATCATCTGCCAGCCAATATAATTAGCCATACGACGTTTGCCCTCTTCGCCTAGTTCTTCCAACTCAAGCAGTTTTGCATCCAGTTTATCCCAAAATTGCAAGTCAGGAACGACGACGATTGAGTCTTCGAAAACTCCCTGACCGGCTGCTTGAAATATTGTCTTAATGTATCCGGTGATATTCGTCAGAACTGCTGAACGAAACGGGTTTGTCGATAACTCCGAAAGGGTAATTTTGTTTAAGAACTTCTTATCACTCTTTTGCTCCACTGCGGTAAACTTGGCCTAAATCAAAAATTTATTAGTTTGTTTGATTCTGCGATGAGCACATAACTGATTTATACCATTCCAATAAACGCTTCCGTTTGAAATATGTCGTCCAGGTCAGATGCGACCGCATCATCCGGGCTGCCAATATCGGCCAATAACAAAGAGGTGACCTTTGTTAAGAAATCCTTATAGCTCTGATTGTATACTGATCCCATCGTTTCGTCCATTAGGAAGTCGACAGTAGCAAAAGTCGTCGGTGAATACAAATAGATGAGGTTTTGTAAGGGATTCTGCACGTCATTGAAAACAGTGAGCTGGAAGAACGGCTGTATTCCAATGAAAGCCAGTTTATTTAGGATGTCGAACAGATCGAAGTTTGACGAATCCCAGCGGTCTTTTTCGAGCAATGGCCAGCCACCCATGTATTCTGCCAGCATATCAAGGACTGGTTTTGCTCTGAGATTTTCGGTTTCTTCTAAAACGATTATGATTAAATATTAGTAAACGTAACCTGAGCTGCGTTTTAAAGAGAAACATAATTAAAACAACCGAATAGCGTCTCTGACATACCCTCGTTTTTGCATTGAGTATAAATCAGTTTTGCCTTCATTTCCGCTGAGAACATGCCGTCGGGTGTGCGGGACAAGATGTCTGAAATAAATTGAGTTTTCTTTGAATACAAATTATCTGTGAAAGAGCAACAGCATTTCTCTTCTCCGAACCTTGAGCGATCAGCTTGTTCTTTTTATCCAGTTCATCAAACGGACTAACCGATGTTTCATTATCCGGAATTTCTGTGGCCGTTATCCACTTCCCACAAGCGTATTCATAGAAATCGTTACATGGATTCGCAGACGGGTTAATCATTTCCAAATACTTTTTGGCTAAGAAAAGGAGAACGTCAAAATATCGCGGAAAGCAGCAGACTAAAATTAGACTTATCCGCTAGTCATGGTTTCCCTGAAATGATATTGCAGTTATTTTTGAGAGTCAAGTGTCCGCACCGGTTTCTTGGCACGGCTGTGTCCGGCATACAGATGCACCGCTGGGAGAGCCGTTGTGGCGTTGCGGTCTACGTCCGCCATTTCGCTGGCTAGCCGCTCCTGTAAAGTAATAATTGCCCCAAATATTATTTCGGAAGCAGTCATATTTAAAACGAGGCAACCGGTAAAGAAACGCCATACAAATTCTTATTTTTACCTCCTAGAAGAAGAAATACCAAAGACGTATAAACCACTCTGTGTCGCTCTATCTGTATATGGTTCATCGCAAACATGTACACCGACCGCAATTGTACAACAGCGTAGCAGCCTGCACCGAAGATATTCGGAACGGCATGCTTTATATCTGTGGGAAACCCGTATGCTAATCACAGACATTTTTACTTTACAATCACAATCTCGGAAATCGGTGTGTTGTGTACCTTGCAACCGTTAGAAGGCATTTACATTTTGTAAAACCGGCATGAAGACGCTGATGCGGCAGTTTGTTTTGCCGGATGATCTCTGTGTACAAACTTTTACTCAGTTGTCGCCGTGTTTGCTTATGCCAAATAAACCGTTCCTGATGCTATTTGCTATTTTTGAAAATTTCATGCATTGAGAAATAGAAATCCGCATGGTCCACAGAAACAGATAATCCGCAACGATGAATTCTGTGGTGGTTATTTGTGATGCACGCTCTGCTGTCGTTATTGATGGTGCCGTTCGCGTGTTTCGAGGCTGGCAGCACGTGAAACCAGCTACAAATAAACAACAAATTTTGAGCATCAGATGTGATGTATAATTATGATACGATTAATTGGAATATGGAATCTAAATACACTTATAAATGATATAAGGAATTAAAGTATCGGAAGTGCGTCAAAGGGCGAAATCATATATAGCGTATGATCTGACTGTACAGATATGTATCCTGAATGTAAATGATTTGTAACTTGATATCATTAACTATTACCATGAACAAAGAAAGAATGTTTTAGCGAATACGTACTGAAACATACCTGTAAGGCTGTAATTTGGCTCGAATAACCATTCTTGATTTAATGCAACTTACCCGAATGTTCGAAGGATGAAGTTGAAATTATTTTTGCCATTGCCAAGAACTTCGTGAGAGGCATCGCCTCCGCTTCAACCGGGCGTTTATACCCATCTAAATGTTTTCAGTCACTTGGTATTTTTCTTTAGCGCGAGGTACTTGTAGGAGCTTTTTACATTGAAGATGCAGGTAAAGGCGATACTAGTCATTGATTCTGGTTCATATTACAGTAATTCGGGTGTTCCATTCGTTAGTGCGCTCAATTCCAGTAATGCATCCACAGTCAATTATCTAGCAATCTGGAGTCCAATTTTATCATGGACTTGTGCCATCTGTATTTCGGCATCCCTTTTTAACGCGCTGATGTTGTACTGGTACATTTCCCGCAGCCTCCCCGTCATGCCCTTTACATTGTATATCCTAACCTTGACCACGGGGAATCTGGTGTACAGCATCATGCAAAATCCTTTACTGTTGCTTATTAAAGATGCAGTAACATCCCGAAATTCTGCCGCCATATTCTGCGGCGTCCTAAATTTCATACGGATTCCGCTCGGTCTGTTAACGCCATCGTGTCATCTGCTCATCTGCCTGAATCGTATCTGGGCCATCGCTTATCCACTGTCGTACAAACGACACCACAATAAGCAATTAGCCATACGGACAATCATCGGCTTAGTGCTGATCGTTGTGCTTTTCTGCTCACCCGGCACGCTGTTGGACAGCCTATACTATCGTACCGACGAAGCCAATCAGTTATGTTTTCTCGGTACTAAACTCGGGATGCCGATTAAAAAGTGGTTTATGATTACTTCAGCTACGTTTTATGTTGCACCGGAGATTATTATTGTCGCGTCTTATCTGTGTGTATTATGCCGACAAATACGTCGGCGGAAACGTTGGCGTGGGCGTGTAGACCAGTCGACCATCGCCAATAGTAATGCGAGGGAAACCGCTGCAGAAGGAACAAACGTCGCGGAACGGACACCGTCTAATCGAACACACTCCTTCACAATTCTGACACTGCTGACCATTAGTGTGTTGATTTGCTGGACACCAGCCAACATATATTATTGCATTAATTCACGGGATTACAGCTTTTCATCGGCTGGTATTATGCTGAAGCTGCTGCATACTGTTGTTGATCCGCTACTCTTTATGATAGGCATCCAAGAACTGCGGCAAATCGTGTTCAATACTTTAAAGATAAAATACAAATTTTAAATTTAAGTTCTGGTTCTGAAGCTTGATGTGTACGTGAACATAAATATGATCCGTTGGCATCATTACGATACGAATATCGTACTTAAATAGCTGCTTAGTTAAAGCAAAAGACTTTACTGCAGCTGCTGCATTACACTACAAAGTAATTTAAATAACTCGAAAAACGATATTATGATATTATGGCAAGAGACTGAACAAATTTCTGCACGAAGTAATTAATTTTCATTTATTAACTCTGCTTGGAATGAAGAAAACTACGGTAGATATTGTTGTGCAGTAAGCACTAAGGCACTGCTATGCATATATACGAGTATTATGCACTGTCAGCCTGACACTGCTTATACTCGTATAACCGTCTCATAAATGAAACAAGGCATTGCGTTCTTGGAAGCTTTGGGCTCGCTCAGAGAATCGTCGGTCTCTTGAACAATGAGCGTGGAGCATCCAGTTTCACACTCTTTTTACCGGAAATCACGAGGAGTGATCGCTTTGCTATCGGAAGACGGCGCTGGGAGAGCATCCAGTCGGAACGATCAGGCGGCTTATGCTTATGCGCATCCAGTCGGCTTATGCGCAGTATAGACATGCGCTTTGTTTCGCTGCTAATGAATCAAATACGTAAAATTTAATCCTTGCAGTACTCCTACACAATTTTGTTTTTTACAAAACTCTGGTGAGACGAATTGGAAAAGCTCTCATTCTTTTACACACCAATATGACTCTATCCAGCAATTTATCCTTTCCTGTCAACACAACTCCGTATAGCAACTATGTAACCCTGTTGAGCGTTCTTCAGGCTGGGAATCCACAGTATGGATGGACAGTTTTGTTAGGATTGAAAACATTTGTTACGCTAGCCTCTTTCCTACTAAATCTCGGAGTGCTGATTTTCCATGCACTACGTCCGTCGCAGATTACATCCTTCACGATCTACCTGATAGCAATATTTATTTCCAATATCATCTATCTCAGCACGGCTTGGCCCATTGGAGCTGTCAGTGAATATTTTGGATTCTGGCCATTTTCGCGTTGGGTGTGTATCATTTACCTGTATTTTCAAAAGGTCATCAGCATTATCCCCGTCATGTCGCACGCGTCGATTTCCGTTAATCGTTTGTGGGCCGTAATCTATCCGGTATCGTATAAAGAGCGCCATACAAAAAGAATTGCAGTTTTGATTTGTCTGGCCGTTGTTATTTACGCGAACATTATAAATGTGCCACCGTATCTTCTGGATCAACTGTATTACTACAACCCCAAGATACATAAAGGCTGCCCGCAAATTACGGGCGCACTGATTCAGTGGAATCTCGCGGAAACGTTGATTAACCGGGTAACACCGCTGCTGTTTATAATTGGTGCCTATATGTATCTGATCATCCAACGCTGGCAGAGCCGTTTAATTTCGGGCAGCGCCGGGTGGAAATAATTGCGCTTTTGCAGTCTAACAGCGATCGCATGGGAGCTTCCACGCAACTGGAGACCACAATTACAAGGAACAAGACCCCCTTGAATGCCACAAATAGTGGTCAGCAGTACTACAGCAGTGCTCGTAGCAGCGTCTCAAGCAGGACAGTGCGGCCATTTATGATATTAACGCTGACCTGTGCGAGTGTTGTGATCTGCTGGATACCGATTAACGTGTACTTCTTGGCGATGGAAATGCACATGCCATTGTCCAGTGTTTACTTTACAGTTACAGGCACTCTGTACTCTATGCAGATGATTTTTGACCCCTTGATGTGGTATTTTAGCTTACAAAGGGTGAAAGGGTAGCACTGTTTTGTTTTGTCAGCAAAAGACACCTTCTTACGAAGTGTCTTTAATGTTGTTGACCAAACGGTTATATATAATTACCGATGCTAATGATTGACACATGGAGCAGGATTCTAGCAATTCAGTAATCTGAAAAAATGCTTAATGATACAGAAATTTCGCAAAGCATTTCTGTGTGCAAAAATCGGCAACATCGAGCAACTATTCTAGCAGTGCCACCGAAAAAGGAATTTCGTTGCTGTCTAATTTACCAGCTCGATGGGCTACAGCGTGCTCAATCGTAAGACTACAGTAGTATCGGTTTTGGCTTGGGTGAATGCATTATATGACAGTACGAGCATAACTTGACGCACAAGACATAATATCGATTCTGCAGGATGAAGCCATTACTTAAACATTTGCAAAGCTCTCAAAGTAATTAATTTCTTCAGATACATTTGTTACTCAAAAAATTTATTAAGAGGAATCAATACCGAATAGAAGTGTCTTGTCAAACATAGGCAACTAAACGTTAAATGGCTTTGCAGAGCGGGTATAATTAAAGAAAAATCTAACAACAATTATGCAACTAGAAAACCGGCAAGTAATTAATTTTATGACCTTTCACTTTAATCAATAATACATAAATGCAGCTGTCATATTGAACCAGGTACACCTCTTGTACACTACAATCCTATTAAATAAATATCAAATATGACGCTGGTATCTTAATATCTTTATTCTTTATTGCAGTTTTTATTCTTTGCACTTATGAAATTAAGTTGGACGAACATGTAAGAACAAGAGTGCAGATACAACTACCGGTACAAGTAGAGGGAATCCTGTGTATTTGGAACATCCCTTCACAGAAGATACTTTCCTAATGACAGGATAGTGCAAATAATTATTGTCTATACATACAACATTTATCCAAATGAACCAACAACAACCCAAACAACAACCAGCTAAACTGAGAAAACACTGCAGTACAGCCAAAAAACAAACAAAGAACACTGAGCAAAACGAAACCCAATATGTACACATAAGGTAAAAGAGGAGGCGGAAGCGGCTGTGCAGGTAGAAGGTTAACTATAACAGAATTTGATTTTATGGTACGAGCTGGTTGCGATGCATTTGAAGAAGTTTATGGAGTTGGCCTCGACGTCGCATGATTTGTGCGGCTACCGGGTAATCTAGCAGCAAGGTCGACATTGCCAGTTTTCCCGGTGGAGGAGTAATATTCATGTCATGCGCGGCTGACAGCTTCGGCTGCGGTTTCACACTGATGGCGGACTTCGTGCCAATCCACTTCACACTGATAGCGCGCGGCGCCGTAAGACGCATGGACATCTGAGGGTACAGAAAAATCCGTTAAATCACAGTGGATTTACGAATACTTTCAATGTCAGGTTAGGTAATTTTGCATACGTACCAGTCTATTAGCCATTGGTAGTACTGATAACTTCCTATACCCCTTCAAAAGACAAATAAATTATTAAGGTTCATAAAATTAGGATAGTTCAAGGAATATTTGTGTCTGCGATAACTAAGCGGTTCTAGCACATTATTTTTTCTTAACTTGCGGAACTCTTAACTTGACTTTACTTATGTATCAGTAGAATGTAGTTAAAAAACAAGCTTCGGAGGTGAGATATAATTATCGGTTTACACATTTACCGGTTATGGTAACGACAAGGACAGACGGCTGTAAAACAGGCTGGCGTTGCTTACTAAATTTTTTACCAATGCAAAAATTTTAGAATACTATTTTTTTATTTTTACGTGTTATTAGTTTGAGAAAACCTTGCTAATTCCACATGTTAATTTAATTTTGCGATGCGGTTTCGTTATCACTTAGAAGGCAAAGAATACGACTCAAAATTAGCTATCGCCGTCGATGCAAATAACAGGTTGTTTCTCATGATAGATCATAGTACTCACATGGGCGAATAGGCTGTTAAGGGCATGGATTGTGCACCGGTCCAGCCCATCGGCTGACCGCCGCCTATCCAGGCAACATCCCGATTAACATGATAGCCGTTTATATGCGGCGCTGTATTTATCCTCAGATCGGCATAATCTACATCCAAATAAACGCCTGTTGAGGATATTCATCATGCGGTACGTTGTCTCAATAAATTATCAACAGTAAGAAATGCGCAGTACTTACTCGGACCCTGCATTTGGGGTTGTGGGTTCGGTTGTGTATAAGCCGGTTGATAATAAGTCTGTAGAGGCTGAAAACAATTAAAAAATAATTAAGCTGAACTCGAATAAATAAATAACATAGAGTATTAATTATGGCAAAAGTATTTAGATTTTTTATGCACTTCTGTTAAGTACATTAAAAATATTGGTGATAGCGGATTTACAAGATTACAGACTAACTAATAGAGTGGTAGTCACGAAAATGTCTTCAATAATTCACTCACATATCCTCTTATCACAAGGAGGAGGAAGGAAAATACAAGCAGGAGCGTCCACAGCATAAGTAATCTCAATGGCATTCTATAAAAAAATATTCTGTACCGCGGCGGATTTCACTACCGTGAAATAGATCCAAAATGTAGTGACAAAAAAAGATATTGGAAGAGGTCAACAGCAATCATGCTCATAAATTCGACAGATGCAGCCGTTCAGTTATGGTACAACCCGTTAGCAAGTACAGTTTGTGGCAAAGACAACGTCAAAAACATTGGAAAATGAAAAAAATTGGATTGAAAAATTGTTTACGAACCAATTATATAGCGATACCAAGTGACCACTCTTGTGCGTTATTGAGACGCGGAGACGACCGTCAGGAATCGTGACAGGATCCATTACGTCTGACAATGAATGCGATGCACAATGCATATTACACGTGAGATGCATACGCAAATTCCGATCGAATTACTGAGTTATAAGTGGATTATGAAGGTTCTGTTGTTGATAACAAAATGGACATTGACCAGCATTAACAACAGCTTCGGTGTTACTCAGCCGCCAATAAAGGACGAATCAGTACACTTGAAAGACGAATACGATAAACATTGACATTGTTCCCAATCCATCAACATGTACCAACATTGTCTACCAACATGTACGGTATAATTTCAATCAAATACTAATTGTTACAAAGTGTACCAGCACTGCCACAATAGGAGTAAACAAAGTGACGTCATGTGTCGATGATAAAACTTGCCGGTAGCCGATTGGTGCGCTTATATGTCTTCCCTTATTCAAAAAGGGTGACACCGAAATTATCCATGTACCGTATCTGTACGATCTATGCTCGATTTTATCTGGCCCGTATTAAAATTATACTGATCGGCGACAGCGCAATGAATTTTATAGCAATAATTTAAGATTTTACTTCTTCAAAATTACCCTTAAAACCAGCATTTAGTATGTTAGATGTGGACTAATTACGGCTGACAAGAAAATGTTATTGCAAAATATAATTTACTTCTGTCAAGTGGAGCTTTTGTTTTAGGATTTTTAATTAACATATGTAGGTGATAACCAGATGAAAGAGCGAAAAATGATAGTGTGTATTAGATACATAAAAAACATCGTATAATTAAATGATAGGTGATAACTGAATTCTGTGAAATGTGAATCTGTACTAACCGAACACTGCCGGCACGTTATGATCTTGAACTACATTCTGCTACCCAGTTATTGCTAACCGATAATTATCGATCGATGAGCAAAAAAAGCGTGCATGTAGCTGTACACGCGTGTACTGTAGATACGTGTGTATTGTACATGTAGTGACTATTCCGATCTGCCGCTCATAACGTTAGCGTTTTCAAGGGCACGGCAGCATCGATATAAGTAATCCATGCTGTTGTGCAATATCTTGATGGCTGATGCATGCATTGCTCAATAGATGTCGAAATGTGTACAGAAAAATATGGTTCCATAAGTAGTTCACCGTAATGCATCGCGGTAACACCGGTATACACAGCTGCTCGTCCGACCAGGACCGGTTTCTTTAAGCGCCTACAAGTGCTGCACTTATTTGACGAACTCCCTGGTAATCTTCTGCGAATACCACTTTGTATGCATACCTCAAAGCTTGACATTTACGCCGCCAAGCCGCACGTCAGGTGTTTGATTTTGATATTGGCCGTCAGCGTATTATCATAGCACAACACAATCATCCGGATCCAGTGTAATCGATTATTCCGGAAAGAAAGTGTTCAGCTCGGTTTCTATGTGATTGATAATTTTTGGTGTTATATTGTGATTTTCCTGGAATTTTTGACGACGAGATGGAGTGGTGCGAGGAGCGGGTAACGGTCAGCGTGGTACCGGAAGATTCCACTGGCAACGCCAATAGTAATGAGATCCTGTATGAGAAATGCGAGACGGTCTGCCGTGACGATATTGACAGCAATGCCCCGTCCACGGAGACCATCAGCGAAGATGTCACCTACGCCGTGGTAAATCCCGCTGACAGAGTGGAAACCATCGAGGAGCTGGTGTATGTCAATGAAAATGCCGCCTTCGAAATGCCCCATCTTCCGAACGGACAGCTAGGACCAAAAGGTACCAACGCACTAAGTTTATTTCCGTTCATGTATTGCAGTTTTCCTTGAGGAAAATAAAGGTTAACTGTTGAAACTGAAAGCTGTGGCTGTCAGAAATATCGTTAAAATGTTTGGAGTCTCATTTTTTACAGAGTGTAAAAAATACGACTATGCAAAATTATACTGATGTAAAAATCAAGTTAATTGTGAAATTATCTAAATCAATGTTAAGTGAAATCATAGCTAAAACTAATACGTAATGCGGATCGAATGTTAACGGTTGAATTAACGTTTAAACCATAAAAATAATAATGATCACTCATATTACATTCTCAAGTCGTACAAATATTCACATGCAGTCTAAATACAAGTACTACACAAATAATTACTATTATGATTATGTTGAATGCAGACTGTGATATTATAGCCTATGACATTGAATATCTACCGTACTGCAGATATTACAATACATGACATACTGTAAAATGTAGCAGCAGTAAAAGCATCTTACATGTTATATAGATATGCCGTCACATGCTGATATGATTTACAAGTTCAAACCAAATCGTAAATTTGCTGCGTAGAGGCACCGCAGGAATCTTTTCGAATAATTACTAAGTAATCAGTAAAGGAAATTCAGTTGTATAATTGTATTTGCAGAAATTCCGCCAGCTCCAGGCCTGTATTTAGTGGAATAAAGTATAAACCCCAGTCATTTCCGTATCCGGATGCACCACATCGAACTGCGTTTCTCGTTACGCGGCCAAATCGGATGCCTCCCTACAAAATTGTATAAAACATGAACTTTTATGCAGAAGCATATTTTTTATAGTTGTATTATTCCTCCCGTTGGATCCAGTTATAACACGAGAGCTTAAATAAATGCTTATGTATTAAAAGATCTTTGTAAATTGTGGATCACAGGATCACATTTTCCCACTGTTAATAGTGAAGGACTTCAACGTATGCATACAGCCATTCCGCAGAATTTTGCTACTGGATAAAGAAAGTATTTATGTTTATCGGCACCAAACGACATCATCCTCAGAATATACCGTAAATTAAGTAATTCTCTTGAGAAATAAAACACACATTCTCGTTGCGCATTGGTATTTGAACAGTGCATGTATTCAGTATTGTACTTACATGTTACGTAGTGAGTACAGAGTAATATGTACTGCTGCACGGTAACGATATCTGCATATTTTTCGATAAATTTAGACGATCCAAAGCTGTTTCGATAAATTTAGACGATGTTATTGTTATATCGTTAATCGAGTTACAACAATCAACATAATCCCGGAAACAGCGTCCATGTTTCGCCGTATAAGTAGCCCAGAATGCCAGTAAATAAACGAAAAAGGAATATATAATAAAATGAGACACAGGGTAAATGCATGTCTCTAATGCATCTTAATGAGTCTTTGTACAGGCCACACAGAAATTCACAGAGCTGATCAGAATTCAAAAGTAAACAAAGAATCGCCACTGCACAACGTCGACAGTAACGAGTAACGACCGCTATAATTTGGCCGGGAAATCAGGGAATCACCCAGATTATCCCCCGATAGGCGCAGCGAAAAAACAATACAGAGATCATGAGACCCATTTGACTCGTTCACACGTCAGGCATCCGTGGTGTAGCGGCGTCTCACTTCGGCGTGGCGTTGTTGGGACGCGCAGCTGGAGATTTCTGGACAGCGGAAGTCCTTGTCTCCAGAAACTGCAAACGAACACACAGATTCACTACGGGCCTTTTATCTTGTACTACGAAATTTTAATACTTACTCTTTAAATTTTAATGCAAACCTGCAGTACCGCAAATACAGTGCCAATAATAACGTTGTAGTATCCAGGAAATGAAAATTTCCAATTCAATGCGAAGTTGATCTATTTATTAATTTCGTTTGTTCTTTTCAGTAAGTAGCGTTACTGCATACGCGGTAGCTCCTTAAATTAGTGTTCATCGACGATGTACACTAAAATACTTTAGTTTCCGCGCTAAATAAAAATCACTTTTTTGGCATTGCCATAACTCACTGAAAAAAATATAATAAACTATTATGGCCCAAAAACAACAAAATAAAACAATGGATTCAAAACAGAAAATCGTAAATTATCAAGAAATTTTAAATTTCAATACTGCATAAACCAGCCAGTCGGCAAACCGAACACAGTCGTCCAATTCAACCCCAAATAAAATGAAAAACTACTGCGATACTCTTCAGTCTCGTGCTTCTGCGCCTCATATTTCGAAGCAAAATTAAAACATTTCATAATTATAACCGGGTGCTCCTAGTACTGCCCACGGATCCATAATTCAACGTAAAGAGCGAATCATGCACCACGAAGTTTCGGATACGGTAATATAACACAGCCACAAACAAATCTCACCGTCAATTTACGAATGAGGTTCTGGACAATTGATTTGGATTCGCACTGTGTCCGCAGTGCGCTCGTTAATTCGGCTTCTCGTTCTTTGCAGGCTGCAAAACAAAAACAGAAGAATAAGCACAAAACAGCGAACCAAATGGGAAAAACATGGCCAAAGCCACGGCAAAACGAACGGCAGATTCTCATACTATTTCTTGCAGCAGCCACACAAGCTCACGCTTTCTGCACCAAACTCAAGCTGGGTACTTTCTACCACTTAATGCTTGAAAAACCATGGGCTAATAAATTCTGAATGTCAGCCAATGAAAAATGTCAGAAATCCGACATGTGAAAATATTTTGACAAATTTCGTTAAACCGGAAACGCCAAATGTTACAAACGCTCAACTGTCCAGTGGACAGTTCAGACAGCTAACCTTTATGAAGGAAGTCACTGTTGTCGTGCCCGTTGACGAGGGGCGAGACGTCCCCGCCGCTAGCGATGGCCTGCAGTCGACTGATTTCGTTGTCCGACTGCTGGAAATTCTGATCCACCGTGCGGCGTCGTTCGCGTTGCGCCGCCTGTCGTGCTTCGTCAGATCGGTTACGGGCTGTCATCTCATCACGAAGATCTGCAGTGAAGAGAAGAAAACATTGTTAAATATCTGTGCGTACAGAACGGTGGCAGTTTTCCGTGCAAAAAAATATCTGAAAAATGAGCGACAATTTATCCACGGAAACAGCAATAATCTTTCATCGGCCTGTCATGACTGTCCTCATTCGATAAAACTGTAATTCCTAGCGTCACTGTTTACCAACAAAATGCAGAATTTTTAAGGCATTTTAAAAAATAATTTTTATAAATATTTTTTTTATTTGCAATTTGTATTAGTACTATCCAGTTAATAATAGTCCAATTTGAACTGGAAGCTTGGAACTGCTCATTCGTGTATTAAAAAAACCTTAAAAATAATCATGTGGACGTCAACATCCAAAGATTATAACTTACGCCATATTTCAAAGTCGGGTTACTACGGTAGTTACTACATAATTTACAACAAAAATGTGACGTCAAAAATGGGTTACAGTACAATAAGTTTTGATTAATTTAGCAACGTTTATTGCTCTATATTCGTATATTTTTGAATGCGCATTCTGTAATCGTTATCCGCAATTTGCATAATGATTCGAAAAATAAATAGTCGCGCTTGGTAATTTGCATAGTAATTCGAAAAATGTCCGAACTGGATCGATCGCATCGCAAATGGCGGCTTTCTACTCTAAATCATGCCATATAAAAAGCCACCAAAGAAACGCAGTCAAGCCCAATGGAAAATGGCAGAGACAAATAGCATTATTGTTGACCATCATCAACGAGAAAAACTCGAAGGCGTAATAGCTCCACATACCTTTTAATTCATCACGCAGACGCTGTTCGGCTAATTTCTGCCCACGCGACTGTTCGAGCTCGTTCTCCAGCAGCGCTTTCTCCTCGATGAGCTGTCAATATAAGAAACAACATTCAGCACCCATGATTGACGGTATCAGAAGGCGGATTACAAATTTACAAAAGAGGCCAGAAGAGATGCAAAAGCGTACTTCAAACGGCTGAAAAGCGCACCTTCAGCATTAATCACTCAACGATATTAGACAATTTACGTTAGGGAGAAACTGTATCGTCTTGAATGAATAATAACTGTACCTTGTCAACGCTGACGTGCATAGAATGAAGTGTACAATAAACAATTGAAATTTACACAAAATGATGCAGACATAAGCAACCGGAAGTCGCATTCTATGCATTCGTGCAGAATTTTTCACTCATAAAAATTCGAAGAATACATAGGCGTGCCATTCTAGCTAAATATCTATTTTACTTACATAGTCTTAAAAATTATGTATTGCTTATTTGTATTTAAAACAAACTTCACAATAAGCTGAATAATTTTACATTTTATTATTCGATTTCACCACCTTAAAAATTATAAAACAATATTTTATTTATTTATTTAGACAAATATGAATGCATCAACCTGAAATCGCATGCGTTTTATTTTAGAAAAAAAAGCTTTCTTTATACTAAAAAATGCTACCATGTCCGCCAAGAACATTCCCGCAAACCTCCTGCCTAAACTCGCCAACAAATACTTTCAATCGAAAACAACAGAAAATGTTTTGGCGCATGGTCATTAATTTAAGTGTAATTTTTCGATGAAAGCACCTGCCCAAGGCGTTAAAACACAGCTCATTCCAATCATTTTTCTGCATACCTTTGCCCTTTTTCAAACACTACCGTATCAATATCGACAAATTGGGTATGGATAAAACAGCGACTGACAATAGCATGAATAGGTGGGCCGATTAGATACGCTCGAGTAAGGTTAATGTTAAATAATACGGAAGCTAATAACCGCCGCGCCGCGAGTGTTCAACCGGAAGCCCTATTTATCGCTATCGGTTGGAGATTGCGGTAATACGATTAAGGTACACAGAGAGAGGAATGCGGTGGCGGGGTGCCATTAGCATTACGATGGCCACTTACGGCACGCCGACTCGTAAAAAAAGCACTACACTCCAACACAGAATGACAGGGTACAGCGTCGGCTATGCGGGCTTACCGCTTCAATCTTCCGTGCATGATCCTCCAAGGATGCCGTCAGGTTCCTATCAAACCATTAAAAATGCGGTTTTAGCCCCCTATCAAACCATTAAAATGCGTTGAGCTTTTTATTGAAAATTAATGATGCGTAGCGGTATGGATTTGTATTGGATCCGGTCTATGCTCGAGATACACAACACGTTAATCGCTGGGACCACACATCAAAAAATAATTCAATAACCGAAACCGTAAATGTATTATCATTCAAATTTAGTTAAAAGTATAAACGTTTATTGTCTAAAGTGGCACGGTTTTGTAATCAAATAACAAAGAAGGCCTCAGGCCAAAAACGTCCTGATTTTACATGCAATCGGAAGGTTCAGAAAAACTGCGAAACGGAATGACTCCGTTTTCAAAACCCTATCTGTATAGCCAATTAATTTTACGAGTAATCGTAATTTCACTATTAAAATTACCGAACACAATTTTTAAGGATCGAAAAGAATGGGGTACAGTGATTCCCGTGAAACAACCTGAATTTAAAACTGCATTAGGGATGCACAAACCACAAAGGTATTTTGTCTGGAAGTAAATACTGGTCAGAAATTGGTGTTTAAAAAATCATACGATTTCTGTTACTTATTATTGAAACCTATGACAGAAGAATATGCAAACAAGCGCATAAGAATATTGTTGTAAGTAAAAGCGGAAGAGCACTTTTCCACTCCATCAACTGTAAACACGCCGTTTTGTAATGCTAACCTGTAGTTAGTTTCCAGTTCATCGTTCTTCTGCTCGAGCTCCCTTCTGTACTGTGTCATGCTGGATTTCTGAGCTTCATAATTCTTCACCTGCTCCTCCAAGGCCTCGATGCGCCTCGTATTCCTCTGCTCCAGCTCCTGCAACGTCAAATCCGAAATTAAAAAACTCTCATTTCCCTTTCTCAAGTGTAACTTCCAGGCAAGAAAATAAAATCCTAATTAATAATAATTATTAAATTACTTAAACTTCCAATAAATAATAAATTAATTATATCACGTAGCGAGTTAACCGGCAGTCATTAAAACAAACCTAAATCCATGAAAAAACAAAATATCTATTTTTATTTCGTTAAAGTGATCAAATTTTTCAATTATCGCTAATTTATCAGCAGCCCGTACATAGTTCCACTATAGAGTTCGGATCAGAAGGGTTTCAAATTCGCAAAATCATTTTTACTAATTCCGTAAACCTACTTCCTATACATATTTCTGAGATATCTGATTTTTAAATTAATTGTAGCAAACCTTGGCTGAACGGCTTTCGTCTCGCAGACGACTTAAATCTGATCGTAAAATGGCATTGGACTGTTCAGCCTGCTTGAGCTCCTTCTCGAGTTCCTGCTCCAACTCACGACTACTGCTGCTGAATTCTTCCAGTTCCTGCTGGGCTTCTTCGCACCTGATCAAACAGACGTTTAGTCAGCTGGGGGAACAGACAAGCATCACGTGCGAAATCTCACTTAGATTTCCATGATAACGCTTCATTCTTCCAGTAATCCACACTATTCGTATCCGCCATATTATGTTAATGATTCGTGAATGTTGCTAATCATGAAGGAGTTAACATAGCATAAGAGATTCCTTGGGCCACAGAGCAATCACAGATAACTCTGAGATAAGAGGGAGAAGAGCACACGGTACGGTAAACACTAAACAACCTCGGATGGCAATTGAGACGCAGATTGATGAAACAAATTATTTATTTTGCTCGTGTAACACTTTCAAAAATGGATCATTATCAATCCGAAGTTCAGAAGCGCTAACGGACGGCCAGTCAAACACCACGCGCATGACTCACCCGCTAACGCCATCCACTTCCACCCACGCTGGAATTCACATCCAAACCACATAACGGTGGAGTCGGTTTGACTGCTCAACTTGACAACTTCAGAAATTTTTGTATTCGTTAACCTTACTTTTTTTTAAACCTTACCGCAGTTTTAAGCGTTAATTAGTATTCAACTCAATTTTGGTTTAAAATTATAGGTTTTTTGCTATAGTACAGTTCTACTCCGTACTGGATAAGTCCCCTGCGACTCACAATTGCCGATAATTATGATTTATGATACTGTAACTGTTTTTGTAGCGCTGTACAATACAACTGATGTGTAAATGTAGACGGAAAACGAACAAGTGAAGATACTGTAGCAGATTTAATTTTGATTATGGATTTTGGATGTCTGCACTTTGCAGCAATGCAGTTGTTAGCTAACATTACCACTTCTACTTACTTGATTTGCCCAATATTGTATATAGACTTCACATATTCGTACAGTAACTGCATTCATTATAAATTAAATGTTTGCGCGGCATGTGCGTACATGTATGTATTTGTACAGTATGATTTGCGTTATCGCCGACTGGTCGACGAATTCATGAACCGCAAAAACAATCATTAGAATTATTAGTATGAACCTACTCATACAATACATTTGATGAAATTTCGTAAACTTAGCATTCTAGAACGAAAGTATTGATAGGACGAGTTACTCGTGAGTCGTGTACATACTACATAATTATATAAATCAATAACTTGTTATTAGTGCAGTGAAGTATCATTAACGCAGATGGGACCGGTACTCTTTTCCCGAGTGATTAGGTCCTTGACAACAATAAGGTATGTTGCCCAAAAGCCGGCAATCTGCAAAAATTAGATTTACTCGACTTATGGAGTGATAGTGCAGCATATTGTTGTTACAATAGGATTATTCGGAAAGCATCTGAAAACTATAATCTCAGAGCGTGTTCGGAAATTTGGATTATAATTACGCTCAGGGCTTGTTATCTTTTATAAAAAGCATTCGAATAAGAGTAACTTCTATAACACTACGTATTCGCATTTCGGTGCACACTGCACAGTGCGCACTAAATCCGCAGCACTTGTCAAGTCAGCGGAATGCAGCGACCTAATAATTATTACGCAGTAGTACTAATGCGTTACAAGTTAAACGCACCGTTGCGATAACGGACTTGTCAAAAGGACAGAAACCTCCAAGGGTCACAAATAACGGTCGGGTTAGCAGAACCGTGGAGATGTTGGAAAGCTTACAACTTTCCTTTGTCATTTCTTCACGCTCGTGCTGTTGGGACCAAAGGTCATCCACCAGAATCTGGCACTACGACAAATGATAAGACCACATTTAGAGCACAACAGCACACATATCAACTATTTCAGGATTTGTACCACAAACGCTCAACAAACCTGCTCCTGCAACTTTACTGCCAAATGCGCCGGGATGACTATTAATCCAATGCAATTCCATAGAAAAGTTGCAGTGGCTTCTGTTAGATTGTACCATTTGTGTCTACTTGTTTTTTGCACGAACGATTCAAATGAACTAAGTTCACACAGAATAAACAGCACTTGATTAGCGATGTGAAGCACTACCACAAGGGAATAGAGTTCTTCGAACTGAAAGACAGCTTTCCGCAAATTAAGCAGAATTTTTATCAGAGTGCCAGATGTCCCCTTTGCACCCTGTAACGGTTGTCGTTTCTGGTTTTTCCGAAGAGCACGTACAACAGTAGTCAAGGCGTACAGCCCGGTGCAGTAACCGACAATCACGACGAGCCAAAAGAAGAACGCAAAGCTCATTAGACAGTAGTACATTGTCGTAAATCCACTGAATGATATATCTTGTGATGGAAAAGGCCAAAAATCCGAGTACAGGTATGCGTCCTTTAATAAAAGCTCCGCAAATGTTTGAGTAAAGGCGAAGCCGGTAAAAAAAACAATCAGTAAGCGCTTTTCGAAATTAATAATCTTGGTAATCGTGATTGACATTTTGCCGGTTCCCATTAACTCATCCATGAGAAAGAACAAATGGTTCAATAATTTTGTAAATCGCATCAAGGGTTTGTGTTTGACATATATAATCAGCATCACGATAACAACCAGAATCTGTCGCACTCGGTAGCGGGATTTCTGGAATAATCTATCGAAACCAGCTTCTGAACCGAGGACCTCGCGAAAGTAATTCAGGTTCGATCGAATTGCACAAAACGCTGCTGCCATAAAACCAATCAAGCAGAAGAACTGAAACACCCGTATCCGGCAAAATTTTGTCTGCAACGCACACAGTTGCAAGTTTTTGTCACTCGACTGCGTAACTCCTGGCGTCTGTGTTACCAGTATGCTGTCTCTTGCAGAGCATCTGCATCGGTGTTGACGACAAGGTATACCACATACAGCTTCTAGAAACTTAATGCTAAAAGTGCTTTCCATAATTTTGCAAGACTTTTACCTAGCTTTAATCGAAAGAAGATCATAGCCGAATTTCAGCCGAACACTACGCATCGCCTGTAAAGAAAAAAATTTCCAGAAGTTTAACGCACTGAAACTGCACGCGTGGTGAATGATGAAGTCCAGTCACGGTGCGGCTTTGATACCTCATCATTCGGGACTTCTCCCTACTGAGTAAATTACGATGGCGTCCCCAAGGATACTTCTACTGATTTTAATTTGACACAGTCTTGACGTACGATTCATATCACATTTCTCCAATTCTTTTAATGGTTCAGAATTAGTAGTAAATGCATAGCGGTTAGTAAGAAATACACGGCTGCCCGCAACCATGCGCACTTAATCAGGAGAGGAAAATTTTTGTGCAAGTAGGCACGTGTCACTTTGAATTTGAGTATCACAAAACTGAACGGCGGTAACGCAGCCGTAATGCGGCAGTAATCCAGTTAATTCCGCCTGTCCAGGAAGGTTATCTATTCCGCCTTGGCTTTTTTGCCCTTCTTGCCGCCCTTCTTGGCAGCTTTGGGAGCTTCGCCAGAGGCAGCAGCGACGGCACCGGTAGCGACCATGACGTAATCAGGCTCATCATCCAACAGTACGGCTCCCTCGACGTACAGGCGCGAGTTGGTGTAGTCGTAAAAAGAGCGGGCTTGCGAGCAGTCAATGTTAAACCACCAATCACAAATCAAGGTGATCTGGTTGAACAGCTGCAAATAAAAGGGACATGGTTGATACAATACATTAGAAAAAATGAAAGCGGTATAAATGTACTTAATGCATGCCATTAACACCTAACAAAAGCAGGAAATTTAAGTACTAGATTGCAGCAAAATGTGTTGGTAGCATGTTGGTATCTTGTGGAAGTCAGTAACACCGGTATGCCCTGAATGCGAAAATAGTAACTGCCGGTAAAACATGCCACTTACAGTCATGTTTGGACACAGATAGCTGGTCAAGTTTCCGTTGACGTCGCAACGGTCGAAAGCCTGGCATTTGCCCTCTCCATCGTTAGCATAGAAACCTGGCTTGACTGAGGCACAGTCAACATTGGCTTTGGGAATGGTGGCAATGAGAGGGAAATCTTGGCCGGGCTTGACATTCAACCACAATTCCTGGATCTGGTCAACGCTCAAAGCCTTGTTAGCGCCACCTCTCAGTTTGTCCAAGGCGGAGAATACTTTGGGATTCTGATCGCTGGCCCGTTTGTCCTGCAAATTACGAAAAAACTTATTTACTGTCTCATCAGGAAATTTTAAATCGTTCCTACGCGTACCAGGGTGCGGGCACTGCAGACCACCACGCAGAGGGCGAAAAAGATGGCGGATTTCATGGTGCTTCGGTTTGGCGCGGGCTTTGGCTTGAAGATAGGAAAAGATGAGGAAAACGGCAAATGATGATGTGATGCTCTTTGTCAAAGCGATACAAACATTTTATATCACCATGCTTGCCGAGTGGCACCGAAAAGACGCACGCCGTTCGTGATCCATCGTTGTCTGTTGGCATACATGTGCAGGAACTGATACCTAAAGCCGCTCGAAGACGCTGTATTCGGTATGCTTACAATTAGACTCGAATTATCCATGTAGAATATTCGTCAGCCGCAAATTTTTGCAATTTTCGAAGCACTTGTGTACTGCCGTCCCGGTACGAATTTTAAATGTTCGCTTTAGAGCGACAGCAAAATATCAATACGCTTTAACAGGGAGTACAAGAAGCTTCCTCCGCCATAATAAGTTAACACAAAGATGCAAAGCAATTTTACATAATAATGTCTACACTGCATGTCATTTCGTAGATAAAAATTTTTTAGACTTATTGTTAGCTGGTTGGAAACAAGCGTTCGCTCGAATCAACTGCATGTATACGAGTACACTATGTTGAATGTGTATTCTTTCCGGTATCCTGCTACCACGCCGAGCAGTTGCAGACACTGCGACCAGATACATCTTCCCGGCTCACCAAGTCTTTGATAATGACAAGGTAAGTGATCCAAAAGCCCGCAATCTGGAAGACGCATTTGATGTAAATATAAATTGCGTCATGACGTCTTTAATAGTAGCTTCGGAGAGAGCTTTAAGTAGCTCCAGTTTCCAGATATTAATATGGTACTATGATGAGTTATACTTACCGTTGCAATTACGGACTTGTCGAAAATGCAGAAACCCCCCAACGTCAAGTACAGGGGTCGCGTTATCATTACGCTTGTGATGTTTAGAAGTTGAGAATGTTTACTTGTTCTTTCCTTGGATTCGTGTAATCGAATCCAAAGATCGTCGGATAAAGCATGATTCTGCAAAGGTTTTCGTTAGCTGCAGTCTGCAGATGCTTGCAGCGGCCGGCTATAATACAGGACTACAGGTAAGTACGTACGTTAATCATTCTGGAATTTTATTTTGGCCGGTGCACACAGGTGTGCCTTGGCTATGGTGTGTTTATTAACCACATCAAATTGAAATTTTGAGACTGTTTTCCGTATTCTTGCCAGTTTGTGTGAAAGTGAAAGTCACTTTCCAACCAACCTTTTCCTGGAAAGTGACGGCAAGGTAGGCGGGAAAAGCAATAAGTCCGGCGAAATTCCACAGTATATCACCGCATCCCACGGCTATGTCAAACCACCGCCATTGGTGAGCACCGCTTTTAAAGAGTGAATTTTCGAACAAACTTAATTGACACAATACAAATAAAGCCTGATTGAAGATGTGAAGCCCTAACACCAGGGAATATAATGCTTCCAGTTTGATGGCAATTTTCCGCAAGGTCAGCAAAATTTGAATGATTTCACTTGAATGACCCCGCACCAAGAGGTTGTCGTAGAGATGTTCTAGATCATGACGCATCCGATCGATTACTTTAATTATTGCGTACAAAGCAACACAGTAGCTAAGAATTGTCATAATCCAGAAGTTAAACCCAAAAAACATCATCATGTAGTACGTAACTGTATAATCAAATTGTGATAAGTGAGCGGGGATTGGCCATAAGTCATCGGAGCGAAACTTCGTCATTTGTGAGACCTCGATCATCACTTGGGTGAAATAAAAGACTGACGTAAAAATAACCAACAGCCACTTATCATATCTTTTAACGGCAATAATCAATAGAGATTTTTGGTCCGTGCCGTATATCTGACTGAAAAGATCGACGAGGTGTCGCAAGAGAAGTCCCAGATCGACCAGATTTTTTCTTTTGATATAAATTGTTACGGTAATGATGACAACTAAAGCTTGGCGAAATCTGTAACGAGATTTCTGGAATAATGTGTCGAATCCGCTGTTCGACGTTGGAATCTCCCGAAAGAGGTAATACAAATCAGCGCGCGCCCCACAAAACACGGTTGCTAAAAAACCCAAACAGCAGAACAGGCGGAACAATAACCGAATCCCGTTCCTTTTAAAAAAGCTTATACCATCCACTTTTTCGGCTTCGGTCGGTAGTAGTGATGTCTTAATCAACAGCTTATGATTTTTGGGAAGGGAAACATTGCATACTGCTCTTAAACATGTAGTGCACACAGTATCGTCCATTTTAGATTTTTTCGACGTGATCGGAGGAATTTCGGAGCAATATACAATGATCAGCGTAAAATGATTGTGGCCTGCACCCTAAATGGGGTGTCGAGCCAACTACAATGTATAAGCTGCAACAGCGAGGTCACGAGGGATTTCGGCATTCAGCGAACGACAGCATCGTTTCAAAGTGAGTAATCGGTGGATTAGGGAGCAATGCCGGGCATACATAATAACAACTATTTGTCTGTCCTATTCCTATTCCCAATAATAATAATTTTATTGTTATTAGGAGTTTTATGATGTTATCATAAACTAGAAGTACTACAGACTCTTTTGAAACCACTGGCACTACTCAACTGTTTGGTCTTCTCCCGACCAGCCTGGTACCCGTGGTCAGGTTCATGCCTGACAATTTAATGCAAGCGCGTCAGCGACTAATCTTGGTTAGTAACTATAAAGCTAGTAAACATCTGCGTAATTCACATAACTTTGTTAAAATATCTTTTATTAATTGGCGGTAAAAATAGTCTCTCGTTTTCTATAAAAGTAACAATTTTCTGCCAAAGGCGGAAATAGGCTGCCTAACCGCACAGAACATTTCGTCTAAATAAGCCGAAGCGCTGACATGCTGTCCCTATGACAGAGGCCGCATTCCCGCGTTGAACTCCGATGCTACTCTGCTGGTTTAAAATTTAATACCTTAATTGTGGCCCGTATCTCGTCTGTTTCCTGTCGTATCTTCTTCCCTAGTTGGATGACCAAGGGTCGGTCGGAAAAGGCCGAATGTTTCGATGCCACCTGCACGGCATCGTTGGACAAAAACACTAGCGTGGCGACCCTCGTAAACGTCGGGACACTTCCGGAGGCGTGAGTGTTTTTTGCAAATTTTTAACTCTTTTTACAAATCTTAACTCTTTTTTTGCCAGTTTCAGCAAGGCAGCTATGTCCAATTGCCCATTGCCCTGCCTTCTTCCACATAACATGCATCTCCCTTGCATTAGCGTTTCTGTCTCCTCAGTCACAGAACTCAGAATTTCATTGCTGTCTGTCCAGTGTTAACATTAACAGAGCTACGTTTTTGTCTGTCTTGTGTTACAGAATTACAAGTTTACACTTTCTTAGGGCTACTCTCAAAGTCCAGCTAGATCTGGTTACGGTGCAGCAGCTCCACCTCATGAGGTGGTTTTGCGAACCGTATTTGTCGGCGTGGACACTTCATGTAGCTATCTCGTGCGGTGGAGCAGCTGCATCATACTTAGCTACGTTCAGAACTTGAGCCGGCCTTAACAGTTCCCAAGATAGGAAACGACCTGAATCCATGCCTAAAGGCATATATGTTAAGACTAGTCTTACATATATATATACGTACGTACGTAAACGTACGTATCTTGCCTTTAGACGTACGCACTATACAGCGCTACGCCTCCGGAAAATTTTAGTACTTACTGTATGAATGGACAAAACATTTAATTTATTACAACCTAAAGGGATGGCGGCTACGTACTGTTTAATGTTTTAAATACAGGCTGCCATGCACCGAGTATGAAGTCTGGACTCTGGAGTCTCTGGACTACTTCAAGTATGGACTAAAATGTTACAGAATACAGTAGGTATTTTTACAGTTTATTTGTTATTTTATTCATATTTTATGTAAGAGTAAAGTGGAGTTATAAACCCAAGACGCTAAGAGCAAAACTTTGAATCGATTTCGAGGCTCGGTTAAAGTTAATGCTAGGTACCGAGTGAATGATGTAACGCAGGCTCACACTGCTCGTGCAGTCTATTCCTCCGTGTGTAAAGTTTCTTGTTGGATGCTAGTGCAACGGATTGTGAAGGGTTTTCATTTGCACGGTGAGATTTGAATAATAATTCAGTATACGCTCTATTCTATATCGGGAATACTCGGAATATGTGCACCCCCCTTGCGCAGTCATCGCACCGCCTGAACGTGCGCATCCTGTACAAATCCATTCTAAGGCTGCACCGTGGTCTCCCCGAGGGACTCCGCGAATTGGGCACGAAATACGTGCAGGATGAATTTCGCCTGCATAAGCCCATAACGAACGACGAGCAGATTAGGCATTTTATGCTGGAATGGACGGACTATGCCATGACGCTGTCGCGACAGCTCTCCAGCGCAGCACTCGTCAAGGGATCTAAATTGGGAAGGGATATACCCTCTGAGAAACTGGATGCCTTCAATAATGAGCAGATTATGCAGTTGTACGCCCTCAAAGTCGAACTGGAAAATGCCACGAAAGCCTCGCAAGAAGCTGCTGCACCTGCAGTATCGTGATGTATTGCAGAATTTTTATTTTTGTTTTACTGGTTTTGTGTACTTCTATCGCGTGGGTTGAAAGTCATAGCAAATTGGCAATGGATGGAGTCGTTGCGTTACTTCGTTTTTGTGATAAACAATAAATAAATATGCATCGTTTTCGTACGTACGTTTTTAAATGGTTTGCTTTAAGCAAAATTTTGCCAGATCATAAAGCGCAGCGTAAATCGCAGAAACGTTTGGACAGCTCAAAAATCGCAGACACCTGATTGTGAGTTACATCTCCGTAAGAAATAAAATGAGCGAATGAGTTTTCGTAATGTGCATTATGAACGATAGAAAAAGATGGTAAATAGCCAGATACCTTTGTATTTTTGATTAACACTTCTTCCCATGACTTGCTACACGACAAAGGAAGAACGGAGTACAAAAAAAGAGAAAAAAGTCTCCCAGTCGGGGAATCGAACCCCGGTCTTCCACGTGACAGGCGGAGATACTCACCACTATACTAACTGGGATTACTAATAATATAGTTGCTTAATTTGTCGTTGCCTCTGATATCCATTTATGTGCATGTATACGGTATTCGCACATGCACAGTTGAAAAATTGACAGAACAAGCTTGTTGTAAAACTGGAACGGACGGGATTCCGGAAACCGCCAAAAATATTTCAAGTGAGGGGAAATTGCTCTTGTGTTCTAACCATAAGTATCCATGTAATATGCACAGTAATTCTTATGACAGTAATAACAGCCTGTAAATGTTTCAGAATGCCGAATTTCGTCTGGTACCTGCCGAATAGTGAATGTCGCATAATTAAATACAAAAATTTAACAGAACCAAGATCTTAAACCAGATACACGGGCAACAGGTGTATTGTTTTATACAACCTGTTTTATCCATTTACAAATAATTAAAAAAGAAACAAATTGAATTACAAAGTAATGCTGCACACTTAATTACTGCACATTTATAACTACTTCTATCGCAAGAAGCGCATGATTTCAAGATTATCAGTATTACAGGAATCTCTAAACATATGCAGCCCCGTAAGTAAAAGCAAATTAATTAGAGTTCATGCTGCAACAGCTTCCGGCAAAGCTGGGTAATCCTTCACAGCAATTGTCATTTGATTTACTTGCCTTTGCCCATTAAGAGACTGTTCATTTTATGATTTACGTATATTCTGACAGCCTTTGGCTGCGGCAAAAGTTTAGTTTACTTATACGGGGTACTTGGAAATTTTGTTCGTATCCAAAGATACGCACAATTTCAAGTTGGGCGAGAAACCGCAACTTAACAGCTAAGACGACCTGCTGTACACAAACATCGATGATTTTTGTAATTGTATACGAATTGTTTTAAGTGCACAATACATATCAAACGCATCTGGGTTATAAGCTATCCAGTTGCTTGCATAAACTGCCATATGAGCCGAAAAACCTAATATGCCGTCCAACCACTTATCCTTTGCTCGTTTCCCTCCGTGTTGCAGCTAGTGTTGACGCGTATACCGAATGTAGCCGGGTACCAATTTACAACATGTTTCCATTGTCATTCTGGGGCGTTAACATGTATGTTCGCTGCACGAAGCGGTCGGGAAAGATATACCCGCGTCGGCACTTTCACCATAAACACCGCACAATGTGGTTAAGATGTAAACAACGGGTTTCGGCTATCGGAGATGCCAACGAAATGACCGGTGTTGATTTCGCATGTCAAGTCATATCTGCCGCGAATAAAGAGCGCTCAGTTACCACCGCCACTGCTATCTAGTCGCCATCGTCGAAGGCCATCCAGATGCTGATTTCCGGCGGTGCTGTGTAGATGCAGGTTTAGTCGGCTGGTCAGTTGGTTGGATGAAGGTGATATGCGCTAAATTATGAGTTTGTTGGTAAACTATAATTTGTCAACGTGCTGCTATTAGTAACATTTTCGTAGTAAAGTTTACCAGAACTCACAGCGCTGTCTGACGGTTGAGCCTTTTCGGCTGGACACTTGCGACCACGCCGGTCGATTTCATCAGCAGAATGCCGGTATTTGGATTATTGGTCACTATCAGTATAATTTTTCTAGCGATTTTTGGGCACAAGCGGATACATGTCAACGCTGCGGTAAGAAGTTTCGATTTTATTGTACGTGCATTACATTATGAGAATGCTTAGTTCCAGACTTGGATAAGTACTGTAAGGATCAGCTATTACTTATACAGTTATACATTATTTTTCCTTTTATTATTGCTATAATATATTATATCGCTAATCACCGGATATAACAACTGAGACCCTTTTTAAAATTTGTGCTTTATAATGCTGAGAAAATAACTGACTTTAATATGCTCATTCTGTATATGTGTTGGACTATTTTATTCCTACATCTTTTAGGCTAATAAATGTTTAACATAACTGTTTTAAATTTCAAGTTGATGTGCTACATACTCTGCAGTGGGGGAGTCCGGGCCCAGCGGTAGGCGACAAAATTAATATATTGCGGCGAGTAATAAGTGCATAATTTCAAGAAATGCCGTTACGGATCCCTGTATACTGATTATATTGGCTGCCATTAATTTATCACATCATTTCGATGGAGATTAATTCTACGCACTAGATGTACCGTGTACTACATTTTATTATTTAGTGAACCGCTTACCCTCTAATCGAGGCTCTTTTTCTAAAGCGCGTCTTTAGGATGTTTCCTTTGGGAAACAAGTAGAGTTCCCTCTTGAAAGGCATACAAAAGTAGTGATCAAGGGAGCAGTATTGAAAAAATACGATAACATACTGACTGAAGTTACTGAACAAGTGCATTATAGCGTAACGGTGAGCAAGTTAAAATAAACCTTTCTGTATTTGTGATAGCCCACAAACTACATCCGAAACATTGCCGACCAGTTGACCCTTGAACACATTCTGAACAACGTCGCGACAGGGTCACCGTCAAAGAATAATGCCGCCATTTCGCCGATTGGAAGTAAGTGGTGCAGCGGCATACAATTGCGCAGCTAATTATATATCATGTTAACTGCTATCTTAGTTTATCTAAAATTATAGCTGAATTCACTTACCAAACAAGCAAAAATAAGTAGATCCGTTAATCGTATGCATTTACTGCATATTCCTTATCCTATTGTTTAGTGTTTGTGAGCGGCAGGGTTTCTTGGTCTGTTTTGCTGCACTTAATTGTTTATTCGGCTACAGCTATTTCAAAGCAATAATAGGTGAATTTTCGCAAGTCACAATTTTTCTTTATAAATTCAGTTTAATCGAGTACTGTACGTAGTTTAACGTTTGTTAGAGAAGCTGCGGTGTATTTCTACTTGGTTGCATTCAAGCCGGGAATAGTCTACCGGTATCCATAGCGGAATATGCGAAGTTTATAGCACTTAATGCCTACATTTTTTATACAGGAGAATGGCTTCGAAGCCATTAATGATGACCTCATCAGGCACTTCAAAATTTTTTTGTATGAGTGTTAAATGTATGGGATTTCAAATTTTTTAATAGGATTTATTGATCAAGAAACGTTCATGAAAGAAGCCTTCAACCGGATGCAGTTAAGCGCCATGATGAATGCATTCGCACCGCCACAACCAAGGATGCAGCAAGGTCTCGGCAGTGGGACCAGCCAAGGACTTGCACAGCCGCAGAGTATGATGATCAATCCTATGCAGTCTGGATTGGGGTAAAATGAGCATTTCTATGATCTTGGTCACCTGATGTACTATTTTATTTATCTGTGCACTCGTTTTTTTTATATTTTGTCACCTTTTATAGTACTGTGTTCATAGATCGAGCTGGAGCTACAATCCCGGCATGGGTATGGGGATGAACAGTATGGGCGGACTCGGTGGATTGGGTTTACTGGGACTGCAGCTGGGATTTGGAAAATTATTGGAATGATATGCTGGCTTGGTCATTGTGCATTTTTTTATTCTGTACACTGCTGGACAATTAATTGCTTGACAATTATTTCTTTAAACTCAGCAAAAGTGTATCATGTGGTAGTACATTTCTTTAAGGCGGTAAATTATGCTCTCATGTTAATTTATGCAATTAGAATCCTTTAAATTTTGGTAAAATATGGACAAGACGTATCTGAGCATCTCAGTGTATTATGAACAACGTTTCATGAGTTGCGTTGCATTTGTATTACAAAGTATTATGTATTATGTAGTTGCGTGCGGCATAAAGAAGACTATGCCGCTCGCAACTAACGATAAATACATGTACATGGAATATTAAGGGTCGGTTTATTTTTATAAGACAACAATTTGTCTTTTTTAAAAATTGGATAAGCGGCTGTTTTATATTGTAAAGCTGTAGAAAAATAAGCACATGGTGTGGCTGGCTTTCAGACATAATCGTAAAATGTTACTGTTGTCTTGGGCAATGAAAACGATCTTTTCCTTGGATCGAATATGTAGGATCTAAAGATGGCGCTTGTTATTAATTCAAAAGATTTCATAGAATGACAAAATCGGAACGGTCCACGCTCACCGGTTAACTCTTAATGGCCTGATATATTTCTAGCCGCGAATCATTTTGATTCATATGTTTTTCTAATGAACGTTTAAGTTTTAAAATTTACAAAATCTGCAATAGTATGCTACACACAGCTACATAGCATACCGGGAAGAAAAATTCAAAATTTGAGATCGATGGGCGCGAGTGTTTCGTTTTCAATTCCGATGAATCAGTTTTACAATGTCAGGCCATTAGTCTGACTGTCTGCGTGTTGAACAGCAACGATACAATTCAGAAATACCAGTAGACCAAAGTTTTGGTTGAATAATAGTCCATATTGTGTCATTTCATTTTGCTGGAGCGTGATTCCACATGAAGAAAACAATATAACTCCTAGGATCATTTATATGTTCGTACGTACTCTTACAGCCATATTAATTCGATAACAAATTATGCAGCTACAAACGGTGACTATTTACCTATCTGCTTATTCTGCCTTATCTGTAGTATGTACATATAATTATGTACTTCTTGTACAGATAGTATATTCTATATGTATTGTATATTGCTTGATTTTAGAATACTACTCGTACTTCTATACATAACAAGCTTTGTGCTGTCAGCAAGCATAATGTTGCTCTACCAGCTTCAGTATGTACAGCTTAGGACAAAATGGTCGCATACCCAACATCTCCACATTCAGTACGAATGCAGCGCAGTGCACTGTACGACTGAGTTCAAAATATCCGTTTCGTACAAGTGCACTGCACCGCTTGCGTACAGAATGCTGGGTATGGGGCTATGCGACCATTTAGTCCTACATTGTAGTTGCCGCAGTATCACTTGCTTTGGTTATTTTGCCGCTTGTAATGATTTATAAATTACCGATTATGCAGAGCAAAATTTGTTAGAAATGTTTGTATTTTTGATTTTACGAGTGGCAGTAAAGAAGTCTCTGAAATCGCTACAGCAGTTACTTCACATCGCCGACAACAAAGTACATTGATATAATATTATTTCCTGCATGCAGATTTCTGGAAGTCCGAACAACAATCCATGACGTCATTGGTCTACTAGAAACAATTAGGTGCCCGCACGAAATGCACCATTCCTGTATACCAATTATTTTCCTTTATGCAGTCCCCAGACGCCGTTAAGCCTAGAATAGCAGGAAACAAATTAAACTGTTAAGCATACATTATATTTCCAGATCACTGCACATGTTACATGCGTCACCTGTGGAGTCGAAAGTGTGTTAACATTTGATCGTTCTGTAACTCTGTTGCATCGAAACAGCCGCCGCACAGCTCTCCGGCAATCGCTGCTCATCGCCAGAAAAAATATCTGTAAAAACACGTTGACATAATTAGGAAGAATTCTCCAGTAAATCCGTTTAAATTAACTTACAGTCGTGGATAACTGACCAGCATGAAAAGATAACCTCAACCACAAGGTCAACATGGCATTGCGTTCCGGAACCGGCACCATCCAGGCATAAACCGGATAGACGAGATATGTGACGCCATGTACTATAGCCGTCGCACCAAGCAGCTTGGCCATAGCCATTCGCTTGCGCAGAACGTTATTTGAGGTTTTGTTTACATTGTCACCTACACGCACTTGCCGCCGCTGTTTCTTTCTTATAATGGCCACAAAAAGGACCAAGTACACTACAATGGTGAGGCAGATCGGAAGTATTTTTCCTACAACGGTTTCCACGGTGTACAGACTTCCTAACCGCATTGTCCCGCATATCTTCACCGGATCGATGGCCACCGACGCCTCGAGGCCCGGAAAGAGATAGGTCACATGCAAACCGATTGTCAGCATGTAGACAAAGAGTAACTGGAGGAGCTGTGCTTTCCACGATGAAAATCTTTTATACAGCATTGGTTTGGTAAAGGTTATCGCCATAAAACGATTTACCGCCAGAATACAAAGGCCCCAGATGCTGGCGCACAGAACCGTCAAATTAAAAAACAAGGCATACTGGCAAAAGGTCAACTGGTGGAAGACCGTTCGTGCTTCGATTTCCGCAATCAGGGTCCCGGTTAAGGTGAGCGGTAGGTGGATGAAAAATTCCTGGAGTTCTGTTAGAATCTGGCTGATTATTAGTAACCGGGATCCGTGGAACAACTTGCGCTCTTTGATCATGGCGGTTAGAAGAAGAAAGGAAAGGATGGTACCGAGCGAGCAGACAAACACCGTTACCGCTAAGTATAAGGCATAATGAAGCGGGTCATGGAGAATTAATGATCCAGGACTAACAACAAACGAGCTGTTATTACGAAACATTTCTCAGACAGGAGGAATTGTTACTTTCAGCAGAATACAAGTAAAGCAATATGGAAAGAATATGAATTCAACGGATTCTAGCAAATGAGGCAATCCTTTTGTACATCCCGGTTAGCACGTTATCCCCTCTTTGCATAATGACAGTAAAGAAATCTCGCTAATTAAATTATTACTGTAATGCTGCAAACGTCTTTATCATCACGCCATGGGATGGGTGCAATGCAGTGAATTGCGCAGACGGACGGAATGCTCAATTATGCATAGTAATTTCATTAGTATGAGGTTAGCTTTACCGTTATCCAATGCAGAATGGCTGTAAAAATATGAAACTAGTTTGTAATACAGTTTATGGCAAAACTAGTCAACGGCTTAATTACAAAGTTGAGATTTCTACTTAAGAGGAAAAATAGCAGGCAGGTTACTTTCTCTGAAACAAATGTATGATAGTTTCCTTGAGTTCATGAAAGGTCAATACAAAACAAATAGGATCCGCTACAGCCTGCAACGTGGAGAGCGTCAGCACCACCGCTAAACAAATTTGTCCCAAGTCGACTCCAGCAAAAAACAGCACGGAGAAGTAAACCTTTGCCGGCATCCAGAAAACCAGCAAGGTCATGGTTAATACGGTTAGGGTGAGAAACGAGCGATCCACGTGGCCGGCACGTCCACCTCCACCTGCAGTAGAATGACTGTGCGTTCCACGTAACGACTCATTAGCTGATATTTGCTTCATGCGCTTCCGTTGCGCCCACCAGATGACAGGAAATGCGGCAACCACTAACGCAGATGGCAAATCATAAACCAGAAACTGATTAAAAATGTTGAACGGGTTGTCCATCGCAAAATCGTTGCAGAAATGGGGAATATGCAGAAAGCGGTAGATAAAATATGGTACGACAATGATATGCATGTAAATGGCGGCTCCGCTGCAGATGATTAAAGCGGTTTTCCCGGTATGCAGATTTCGATAAGACAGCGGCCTAATTACCGCCCAGATTCGGTTAATGCTGATTAAGGCGTGTGCCTGAGCGACCAGCCCGGAGAATGTGTTATCCCAGTAGAACTGTGTGGCGCATAAGGAGGATATCTCCAGCTGCTCGCTTTTGTAAACCAACTTTGTCAAGTCGAAAAAGGCAACAATGCAAGCAAAGATGTTGGATAACAGTAAGTTTGCGACATACAGTGAAAACGGTGTCTTATTCCGCACGCGAATAACATACAGCATGAATACCGCACCGTTTAGAAAAAATGCAATAATTGTTGTGATCGTATTAGAAGCAGCCAGTAACGGATTGCTTTCCGGGATTGAAAGGTCATCCGTGGTATTCCGGGACGCATTCATTGCGTTCAAACGACAAATATAATTAACGTTTCGCCTTAGTTCATTTCCAGAAACACTTAGAAAACAGGTAACTGCTACACACGCAATGAGTTCCTGTCCAGTTAAACCATGTTTGTGTAAAAATTTGTTTATAATGGATATTTGAAGCTGGTGATTGGACAAGTTTGATTTCCCAGGAGATGCGAAACAGTTAAATAAATAAAAGGCACACTAAAAGCCAACTTGAAAAATCCGTTTTTTTTTAAAATTAATGGTTAACGAGTACGAGTACGAGTCTTAGGAAACCGTTTTCACAAGCAAGACCTTAAAAGTGTAGCTTCAGTGGCATAGTATTCATATTCCTTGCCGTCTACTACTGTGCCCTGCTACCATTTAAATAGTTAATTACGAAGGTTGAAGTACCCGCATCCCAACGGGACACAGATGCGGGTAATAACATTCATACCAAGTGCGCTTTTCAGGTAGACTTGAGGGCCGGACACAGTCGCTGAATGCCCACAGGAACAGGAGCACAATGCGTACGCATTCTGTAACTGCATGATATCCCAATGTCATTTGTTCAGCTGTACTGGGATCACTGGCTTTTATACACTTTTATCACGTATGAAAACATGTACTGTATTTATAACTGACCACAATGCTGAGCTTCGTGAGATGCTAAATAACGTTGGAAATGTGCAAAGAAATAATTTATATCAGACGATATCGTGCTTCTATATGTTTTCAGTATAATACGGTTTCATTCTTTCGTTGCGCGGTTCAAACTGAATTGCCAGGAACATTAAATTAATCAAACGTTTCGCTGGTAATGGCGTAGCTCAGTGTTGTGTGGGAGATACTTGATAAGTTACTGACTACTGAGGTCTGCACAAAAAGCAGGGTATCTTGTTTGACAATAACAAACGTGATCGCCAGATTACTGAATTTTGAGCCTAACTTCATATCAGCTAGTACTTCCTGTTCTAATCCACGCTAACCTAAACCGGCATCGTTCACTCGTGCGCCAACATTTTCCGGCGTTCTTTTCCTCAGCAGGACGCATAAATACCTGGCAACTTTTTTATCCCACCGCTTTCAGTATTTTAAAAAGCGATATCATTCACCATCCCTTATGATTAAACCTGCATGGGTAATTATATGTACGCATCAAATACGTATCAACAATAGCATTTACAGCTAGTACAAAATAAACACGATACGAGTATTTTAATTATTGTGTTAGCAGTTGCCGAAGAGCGTATCACAAGGCTTTAAACAACATAACGTGGTTTACAGAGGTCCTTGTCATTGTTAGGAGAAACATTTAACGCCACAGGGCAGCTTGAATGCGAAGCCCACATAAAGGAGCGGAAAGGCCTTGAAGGTTATCCTTGTGCAAGGGAGTGGCGAGGTGAGGTTTTGAAGACTGTTCTTGTGCGCAGTACAGATGTGGGCGTCTCTCCAAATCTGTAAGAAGATATCATATGCACCAGAATCGACCGAGGAAGGACATTAGGTGCTAATGACATCTGCCCAAACGGAGGTTATTTTGGAGGAATTACGACCTTGACCCCAAGGCATATAAGGATCGCCTTTTTTAAGACTGATTACTGTTGGATCTTACCTTTTCTGGAAGAATCACGCCAAGATAAAGCCGATATAGGATTGTTTAGAAGGTATGGTCTCAAGAGGTTCCTTTAAAGCATGGGATCGGAAGGGCACTTCGCAACTCTTGAAAAGTCAAAACAAAACATATTGGATCCGTAACAGCTTGCAGCATGGACAGTGTCAGAACAACGGCTAAGCACATCGGTCCGAAATTTACACCAGCAAAAATGAGTGCTGAAAAATAAATTTTAGCCGGCATCCAGAACACCAGTAAACTCGCTGTCAGGGCTGTTAAGGCCACAAAGGATTTGTCTCGCTGAATATGTCGTCCTTTGGTTGGATAACTCTGACCTCCAGATGACTCAAATTTGGCTGCAATTTGAGCCTTACGCTTTCGTTTCACTAACCAGACAACGGGATACGCTGTAATGGCCACCGCAGTCGGCAAAAGAAAAATAGCCACTTGGGCAAACGTGGTGAAGATTTTGTCGTATTTTGACCGGTCGCAGAAATATTCGACATGGAAAAAGCGATAAATGAAAAACGGAATAACCATAACGTGGATGTATATAAATACTCCACCGCAGATTAGAAGACTCCTTTTCACCGTATGGAAACTTCGATAAGAATGTGGGTACGTAACAGCCCAAATTCGGTTGATCCCGATTAAAGCATGGGCATGAGCCACCAAACCAGAAAACGTGTAATGCCAGTAAAACTTGGTTGCGCACAGTGATGATGGCGCTTCGCCTTCGTTATGGTACGCTATTATCGTGGGTAGCCCGTTCACGTAAATGGTTATGGCTAAATCGAAGAAAGCTGTAATGCAAAATAATGCATTGGCAAACAGGAGATTGGCGATAAAAAATGTGAAGGGCGCTTTGGCACGGATGCGGATGATGTAGAGTACTAAAACCGCCAAGTTGAGAGAGAACGCGACGACTGTTGTAGCAGCGGTAGAAATGGCCATTAATGGATCACCGCCTTGAACCGCTACTTTGGTTCTGGTAGTATTAGAGAAGTTCATCATTATTTTCAATGGAATACGAAGATCGTTTAAAACATCTTAATCTTTCATGTAAAGTAAGGCAAAAAGGGGAACAGCTGCAAAGGTCAGTCAGTCATGTACTGAAAAATTGAATGGACGATGTTGGAGTCATGGTGAAAATTTCCTCGTCCTAGGTAGCACCATATATTGATCGACTTAATTGCACACGATGTTTGCTAGGGTTAAATTTGAACCCAAAGAAAAATAACGGTGTTTTGAAAAGGAGCACTTCATAAGGGGCTCTGGCATTCAGTACAGTATTATACATCACCAACTGGAATTAACTGCTAGTCATGTCCAAGTTTATAACACTTGCAAGCGTGCTGTATCTGTAAACAGAAATTAGGAGTGTTTGCCGCCGAAAGGTCAGAAATTTAATTGCGCACTTGCATGCCTTTGAGATCGGTTCAAGTAGCGGTAAGCTTTATTTTGTTACGCCGTAATTGCACTGTGCAGATGTATTAGTATGGACTACGATAGAGAGCTTCTACCACTTCATAATAATTATTTTAGATAGCTGCTTCAGGGTAACCAATAAGGTTCGGAAATAGATTTAACAAAAGAGGCTGATTGGGTTTCCAGGAAAGAAAACTGACACAAGAAGGTAATTACACATTCTGGACAGAGGAAAACAGTCTGGTATTTCGTGACGGCATTTCCCTGGCAGCACAAAAAGCCGATGGTGCGGAACGTCACAGCATTCAGTAATTTAGCGCAGACATCACGGCTGCCTAGCTGGAATAGCAACGGAAATGACAAAGCAGTAGAAACTACAGAAGTTTCAAGGATTGGCAGTTCCATATAATTTTGTAGCCTCTTGCTTTTGAAACAATGGGAATTTGAGGACCTTCAGCCAAACAGTTTCCAGGAAACTGGGGGAGGATAATTATTGCAACGGGAAAACACTGATTTAAGGATGTTCGACATCTGGTGGTTTCGTCTCTCAGCTTAATTAATTTGTTTATTAATTTTTGTTTGCTGACGTCTAAAATGGCGCACCCCGAGCGCTGTAACGCTGTTACATAATAATAAGAGCAACATATCAGTGACCAGCGGGTTCGACTGCTTGACACAACAAAATTTCCGAACTGTTCCCAACGTTTTGCACTCGGACATTGTTCATTGCGTTTTCATTCTTTGAAATGTCGT